AATTAAGCTAGGTTTTGTCTCTCAAGTTAATTAGGGTTTGCTAGAGACACAAAGCTTGTGTCCTTAATTATGATGACATCGAACTACATTCCTCTCGAGCTGCAGATCAATATACTCTTAAGATTACCATTGAAATCTCTATCGAGATTCCGGTGCGTTTCCAAGGTTTGGTCATCTATCATCACCAGCCGACATTTCGGAAACCAGCACTCAAGTATTGTTTCTTCCTCACCTCCTCCTCGTCTCCTCATTTCCTTTAATAACAATTACGGAGAAAGACTTGTAATCTCGGCGCCTAACCCAAACGCACACTCCTTCTCTGGAGACTTGGTAGTCAGCATTAAAGGAAGAGTGGTGTATAACGTGGTGAGGGGCATGGTCTGCCTCGGATCAGGTCGTGTGGAGATTTGTAACCCCTTCACGAGGCAAGTGAAGCATGTGACTTGGTCTCTGAGCAGTTCCGAGACTTGAGGAACAAGTTTACTTCGTTTTTTAATTATTTCTTGCTGAATAAGTCATCCTTATTAATAGGATCAGAGTAGTTAGACGTAGAGCTTTTTCCGGTAGTTTGTTATCTTCACTTTCTATTTAAGCTTGTGTAATTCATATTTATGAATAAGAAAACAGTTCAGCTCATCATCTTCTCTTTAGTTTCGAGTTCTGAGTTTAACAAGTGGTATCAGAGCTCTTTTCTTAATTGAGTAAGTGAGTATCTGAAAAACAAAAGAGAAATCAAAATGAGTGAAAAGGATAGATCACTGAGCATTCCTAAGTTTGATGGTGATTATGAGCATTGGGCAATGCTCATGGAGAATTTGTTGAGGTCCAAAGAATGGTGAGAACTCATCGAGACTGGAGTGACTCAAACAGAGAGAAATGCAGTCCTAACGGAGGCACAGCAGACGGAGATTGCAGATCAAAGGCTGAAGGACTTGAAGGTGAAGAACTATCTCTTTGCATCGATCGACAAAAACATCTTGAAGACGATCGCAAATAAGGATACTTCCAAGGATATCTGGGAGTCCGTGAAGGTGAAGTACCAAGGGAACAAGAGAGTTCAAAGTTCTCAGCTCTAAAGGCTACGGAGGAACTTTGAGGTGTTAGAAATGAAAGAAGGAGATTCCATCACATACTACTTCGCTAGAGTGATGGTGGTAGCGAATGATATGAGGAATCTTGGAGAAGAGATGCCAGATGACAAGATTGTGGAGAAAATACTCAGAACCCACGGGGGACGAGTTACAGAGTTCTCTGCTGGTGCACGAGCAGAATCTCAGTAAACATGAGAATGATGAAGAACGAGCTCTAAAGATGGAGGGAAACAGAGGTCGTGGTAGCTATGGAAGAGGAAGAGGAGGCTACAGAGAAGGAAGAGGTGGCAGAGGAGGTTACAGCTTTGACAAAAGCAATGTAGAATGCTACAAATGCCACAAGTTTGGGCATTTCAAAAACGAGTGTCCTCTATGGGAGAAAGCAGCCAACTATGCCGAGTTGGAGGAAGATGTACTACTAATGGCTATGGTGGATAAAAAGGAGGAACTAGTGTTGTATCTGGATTCAGGATGCTCGAATCATATGTGTGGAAACAAAAGGTGGTTTGTAAGTCTTGATGAGAGTTTCAGGCAACAAGTGAAACTTGGTGATGATAGAAAAATGAAAGTAGAAGGAAGAGAAGACCTGAGACTGGAGATTGATGGTATTGTGCAAGTGATCTCCTCGGTCTACTTTGTACCAGGGTTGAGAAACAATCTTCTAAGCGTGGGGAAACTACAACAGAAGGGTTTGAAGATCATTGTTGAAGACAACGAGTGCAGAGTTTGGCATAAACAGCAGAAACGAATGATCATGCATTCAAGAATGTCTGCTAACCGTATGTTTGTCATCTTAGCTACGGTGATGGAGCCAAGGGAGTGTCTGGTGACAAATCAAATAAGCAGTGTGGATGAGACACCAGAAGAAACGTGGCATAAAAGATTTGGCCACCTTAGTCTCACCTCTCTAGCCACTCTTGCGGAGAAAGACATGGTTGCTGGTCTTCCTGCAATCAAAAACACCAAAGCAATCTGTGAAGTGTGCATGAAGGGGAAACAGAATCGAGCAAACATACCAAAACGTAGTGAGTGGACATCTGTTGTCCTATCTCACCGACCTCAGAGAGTGGGAAGAGATACATTATAAACTTCATTGACGACTTCGGTAGGAAATGCTGGACATACTTTCTCAGTGAGAAGTCAGAGGCGTTGAAAGTATTCAAAGAGTTTAAGGTAGCAGCTGAACGAGAAACCGGAGAGATGCTAGTATGTCTGAGAACTGACAGGGGTGGAGAGTACAACTCAAAGGCTTTCCAAGACTTCTGTGCTGACAACAGTATCAAAAGGCAACTCACTGCAGCCTATACACCTCAGCAAAACGGCATCGCAGAGAGGAAAAACAGGAGCATTATGAACATGGTAAGGTGTATGTTGTTCGGAATGAAAGTCCCACTGAGGTTCTGGCCTGAGGCAACACAGTATGCTGTCCACATATTGAACCGAAGTCCAACGACGATACTAGGAGAAGTCACTCCGTCTGAGAAGTGGAGCAAACACAAACCATCTGCGGAACATCTCTGCGTGTTTGGATGCCTAGCCTACGCCACGATCCCATATGAGAAGAGAACCAAGCTTGAAGAGAAAAGCGTTAAGTGCGTGATGTTTGGTGTGAGCAAGGAATCAAAAGCGTATCGTCTCTATGACCCTACCACAAAGAAGATCATCATCAGTAAAGATGTAAGATTCGATGAAAAAAGATGTGGAACTAGGAAGAGGAACGTGATGATAATGAAGTCTTGAAAGATGTCACTGATATAGAAGAAGAACCAGAGGCAGTAGGAGAAGAGACCGTGGGTGCATAGCCTGAAGTTACTGAGACTACGGGTGGAGAAGAACCACTCCAGACTCATGGAGAAGAAGAAGTTGCAGAAGCTGATCAAACTGGTGAATAACCGGTTGCTAGAGGAGGTGGAGGCTCTGGCTCAAACAGAACCGGGAGAAACATACAAAGACCGACTTGGATGAAGGATTACGTTTGTGAAGGGCTGAGTATGATCGTTGAAGAAAGCGAGGGAGAGATCATGGTTCTATTTGTTGGAGAAGACGACCCTGAGAAGTTTGAAGAAGCAATAAAACACGAGAAGTGGAGGAAAGCGATGGAGGCAGAGATAAAATCTATCAACGACAACAACACTTGGGAGTTGGTAGACTTACCAGAGGGGGCTAAGGTGATCGGTGTGAACTGGATTTTTAAAACCAAGTTCAACGAGAAGGGAGAAATAGACAAATTCAAGGCTAAACTTGTGGCAAAAGGCTTTCATGAAACTCATGGTGTATACTTCCATGAAGTCTTCGCACCTGTTGCGAGATGGGACACTATAAGGTTGATCCTTGGTTTAGCTGCTCAACAAGGATGGGTGGTTCAACAGCTAGACGTGAAGAGTGCATTTCTTCATGGGGATCTAAATGAGGATGTATACATTGAGCAACCTAAGGGTTTTGAGAACAGAGAAGAAGAAGGGAAGGTGTATAAGCTAAACAAAGCTCTATATGGTCTGAGGCAAGCTCCCAGAGCTTGGTATAGCAGGATTGAAGGCTACTTTGTCACAAAAGGGTTTCAGAAATGCTACTGCGAGCATACTCTGTTTGTGAAGACTGAGAAAGAAGGTATTCTCATCATCAGCCTTTATGTTGACGACCTGATATATACAAGTAACTCTGATAAACTTCTCAAAGGGTTTAAGGCTTCCATGGAAGAGGAATTTGCAATGACTGATCTTGGACAGATGAAATATTTTCTTGGTGTGGAGGTTATACAAGATGATCGTGGTATCTTCATCAGTCAAAGGAGGTATGCAGAAGACACACTGAAGAAGTTTGGCATGGAGGAGTGCAATGCGGTGAGAAATCCAATGGTTCCAAGCAACAAACTAACCAAAGACGGAGATAGAACCAGAGTCGATCCTACTTCGTTCAAGCAACTGGTGGGAAGTCTCAGATACTTAACTGCTACAAGGCCAGACTTGATCTACTCCGTCAACTTAGTGAGTAGATATATGGAGAAACCTGGTGAATCACATTTAGCTGCAGCAAAAAGGATCTTGAGGTATGTTCAAGGAACTCAGGAGTTTGGTATCCAATACAAAAGAGGTGGAGATGCAAGTCTAGTTGGCTATGTGGATAGCGACTATGCAGGTGATGAGGACGATAGAAAGAGCACTTCAGGATACACTTTCATGTGGAGTGGAGGAGCTGTTTCATGGGCATCAAAGAAGCAGCCTATTGTTACACTCTCCACAACGGAAGCAGAGTATGTGTCTGCAGCATATGGAGCATGTCAATCTGTCTGGTTGAAGAATGTCCTCAATGAAATTGGGTTAGATCAAGAAGAAGGCATAACCATGTTCTGTGACAATAGCTCTGCAATCAAACTTTCGAAGAATCCGGTCTTACATGGGAAGAGTAAACATATCAGCGTAAGGTATCATTTCTTGCGTGAGCTTGTTAGTGAAGGAGTGATCTGTTTGGATTATTGTTCCACGGAAGAACAGATATCATACATTATGACTAAGCCGGTGAAGCTAGATGTATTCGAGAAGTTAAGGAAGATGTTGAGTGTTGGTCCGAAGGAAGAAGTAAACTGAAACTATGTGTTTTCAGTTTAAGGGAGGGATTGAAGCATATGGCTTGGTCTCTGAGCAGTTCCGAGACTTGAGGGACAAGTTTACTTCGTTTTTTAATTATTTCTTGCTGAATAAGTCATCCTTATTAATAGGATCAGAGTAGTTAGACGTAGAGCTTTTTCCGGTAGTTTGTTATCTTCACTTTCTATTTAAGCTTGTGTAATTCATCGTTTATGAATAAGAAAACAGTTCAGCTCATCATCTTCTCTTTAGTTTCAAGTTCTGAGTTTAACAGCAAGTGCATAATTTCCCCGATATCAAAGTTAAAAACATTTCACAAGTGTACATGTTTGGGTATGATCCTATTGAAGATCAATACAAAGTTCTCGCTGTTGATGACTGGTATTGGAGAGGGCAGCACAAGGTTGCCGTATTGGGAGGAGGTTGGAGAGATGTTATGTGTGTTGCATGTCCACACATGCCTCATACCATGGGGCTGAATATGAACGGAACCTTGTATTATGGTGCCTCCAGGACGGATATTGATTATCCGGACAATTCTATTATTATGAGTTTTGATGTTAGACATGAAAATTTCAACATCATTAAAGTGCCAAGCAAATTTGTACCAGTCGGTTTTAAGAATATGTGGGTTGCTACATATTGGGTTAGGGAACAAACGGATAAAACTTTGATAAACTACGGTGGAAAAGTTGGAGTTGTTGAGAATCCTAGTGATCAGGGTCGTTTTAGATTGTGGGTTGTGGAAGATGCTGAGAGAGAGGAATGGTCCATGCATACGTTTCTTTTGCCTACTGGTCTTGACTTGAAAGTGATGGATACATTTTCCACCGGCGAGATTTGTCTGGTTCCAAACATACTGTCTGGTGGTCCCTTGCGACTTTACTATTACAACCTAGAGAAGGAAAGCATGAGAATTGTCACAATTAAAGAAGTGAATGTTTCATACTTTAAGAAAGCAGGAACTAGTTGTGTGACTGTTTCAGATCTTTATGAAAGCTTCATGTTCGTATAAACTTGAAGTTAGTTTAGGACTCTAATTTTTTTCCTTTATTTATATTATTTATAGAAACTACACTTTATTAGTTTGTTTTCAAAAGTACTATGATTCCAATTTTTAAAAACCTTTTTTTTGTGTAAATGGTTTTCAAAAATTAATAATTGATAGTGTTTACAATACGGAATCAGATAAGAACCACTGACAAACGAATAAGAAATTAAACCGTGTGACACAAGTTTTAGATTGTGGATTGCGGAATACACTGAGAAAGAGGAATGGTCCATGTGCATTTGTATCTGCCCGAATCTGCTGCTGGCCTTGACTTCAACGTAATGAATACCGTTTTTACCAGCGAGATTTGTCTGCTTCAAAAAGATATGTCATATGTCTAACCCGTTCTGTGTTTTCTCTTACAGTTTTGAGCAAATAAACATGTTAAGAGTCACAATAGGACTCCCTATCCAAGTTCAAGCAAAAGCCAACAATCTTTTGGCGACGGTTCAGATCATTATGAGGAACTTCACGACTTTAGAAACGTGAAGCTAAACTGAGGCTTTTCTTTGTACTTAGATCTATTAATAAAACTTATCTTTCTTCCAAGGCACCATAACTCTAGCTTAAAATCATGGTTGAGCAGTTCCTTTCAGACTCTTCTGGACATGACAACAGTAATATCAAAGGAAGTTCCAAAAATGGTGGAATATGATTTAGTAATTCTCTTCTAAGATTCACTTTAAACTGTCTGAAGTCTTACTAGATGTATGTTCTGTCTTGCTTTGCTTTTCATGGTCAGCTAAACCAGATCAATTACAAATACAACCAGAGAGAAGATGCAGAGTGTGGATTAGATGTGATTATAAGCCACTTCATAAAAGAAGAAGAGGTTTAAAGTCATGAATGTACACAACATAAATAACACAGTTTGGGAACCAAAAGCCAAATGCACATTAAAAAAAAAAAACATAAAAGCAAGTAGAAATGGACCTCCCCAAGAGAATGGTTACTATATATTATTATTACTTACTACTACTCTAAAACATTATATACATTCATATAAAAGTTTACCAGAACCGGTTTTGGCTTTTTATAAAAGCTCTCCTTCTTCTTCTTCACTTGACATGGCAATCATAAGGAGAAGAAGCAAACACTTGATCTGGAACCACTAGAGGTAACTTCTCTATGTACAAAAACAACCTCTTCTTATTCTCCCTCTCCACTGTATAGAGACTCACCGTATCTGATTTCTCCATCAACATCCACAAGTCTCCTGAGTTTACTCTCTTCAGACTGTCCCTGCAGAAAGGGCATGACTCTGACCTCCCATGCCTGTAACAAAACATCTGTTACATGACTGGACCATCGACTAGGCCGAGAATATATTCATTAAAGAATGGCCTTACCAGTCACGGTAACACTTGATGCATAAAGAATGTGTACAATTGGGTAGAACAACCATGCTGTTCATCTCCATACATATACCACACTCTTCATCTCTCTCCACGTCAATCTCCGAGAGCTTTACTCTTTCGATCTCCTCTTTGTTCCTGTACCGTACTTTGCAGACCTCTTTCTGTTTGCGGTCATCGATGTCTGTGATACCTCTTTCTAGTTGCAACAGCGATGGAAATATCACAGCTGTTTCACAATAAGGCATAAGTATCAACAAGATATCAATTAATTTGTTACATAAAACACTTAAACAGTACCATAGAAATCTTTAATACTGGTTTTCCTCTCATAAACCGACATTGTGGTCTTCCCATCCGCATAGGTCTGATTCAGTTGAAAGGATTTAATCAAACAATCAATAGAGAAGAAGGAAAGGAAGAGAGACATGGTAAAGAATGTACCATGTAAATGAGAACTCTGAGCAAACCGAGTGCACCGGCAAGGTGGCAATCAGTCCACTGGACAAGAAAAAGTAAAAACTGAGCTGCTGGGTTGTAAGATAGTCTCATCTGAACACGTGCTCCATCCTTCTCCCGAGGATAATCCAAAGCTCTGTTTATTCATTCAGAACAAAAACAAAAAACAAATAGAGACATTGTTCATAAGCACCATGGCATAACAAACATAACTTGATGAAGAGCACAAATGTAACAAAGTTGTCAATTTAAATGTTGATTGGATCAAGCATCAGTCAGATGTGACAAAACACTAACAACACAACTTATATATACACACAAATAGAAGACTTTAGCAACTTTAAAATAACAACACACTAAAACCCCTAAACACACATTTACAGCTCAGACCTTAATTCAGAAAAAAAACATTAGGAGGAGGCGATAAACTTTTATACAAACCTAACTTCACCCTCAGACACAAACATCAAAAGCCAAAGACTTTGTTTTACTTCAAGACAAGACTAAAGAAAATGACTTAATTACCAAATACCTCGGACTACATCATCAACTTGGGTTATAAAATCAAAACTGTTTGGGACCAGACTAAACCCTAATTCGAAGAAAAAAAGCCGTACAATCTCAAAACTCTTCTGCACAGAAGAATAATTTCAGACAACAACTTGTGGTCCTAGCCGAAAAACCAAAGAAACAAAACCTGAAAACTCAGCAAGATATAGATAATACTTTTACAGGAATCATAGGAAAGTCAAAACTTTGGATAACGAAAGCAGAGAAATTGAGAGGCTTTACACAGTGTTAGCGTGTTGGATATCGGCTTCGAGAGCTTTTAGAGAATCCTTGAACGATACTCTTGCCATGGAACACGTCAATTTTCAGCGAGATGAAGAAGAAGAAGATCAGAAGTAAGAAAAGTTTGATGCTTTTCCTTTTTAGAAGAGAAGATATTTCACCCAAATTCGATGATCGATACTTTCAGAGATGAGAAGGATGATGGGTACTTTTGTAAATTCGAATTCGAGATAAGCCTCTTTTGTGCTTTCGGTTTCGATTCTCGAAGACGCTTTATCAAGAAAAGACGCGGAGTGGGTTTGGTGATTCTCCGTTTTGCCCTCGTTCGGCTATGATAGTGAGAGACAAAAAAAAATTAATCTTTTTAATTACGGTAATGATCCTCTGTTTTTGGCGTACCTGTACGTTTGACTGAAATGCAATCATTTTATGACACGTGTATGGATAAGGTTAAATATCTGCTGATTGATTTAAAGCTGAATATATAATTGATCATCCATTTAATTATGAAAAGTCAAATACCACTTGTAGTTTATAGTACAACAATAAATAAATGTATCAGCACTAAAACCAAACAGATTGGGTAAAGACAATAAAACAGATTAGTACCAAAAAATTGCTTTAATCATTTCGGTAAGGTATGATGTACTATAGGGTTGGACATTTTATTTGTTAAATTGAATTCAATTCGTTATCGTTTCGATTTGATTCGTTATTTGTTTCGTTTCGGTTCGATCCAAAAATTTTGAATATTCGTAAACTTTCGAAGCAAAGTAAATATTAAAACTCAACATCCGTTAAAAGCAGAGCAAATCACAAATACTAAAATTTTGGGAAGCGGATATACGATTCGATCCGACAATATATAAATAATTCATATATATCTTGATTATACTTAAAGGTTTAAATGTATAATATTTTTATAATTATTATTCTAATATATGATTTGATAAATTTTATTCACATTATCTTTATATATAAAGAAGAAGATCACTCTCTTCTCCTTCACCCACATCATCAAATGATGTCATAAATCAGAAACTTTATTATTGGGTCTCACTTGATTTCCTTTTGGGCTTCGCATGTTTATGACTGGCCCGTTAATTTTTTTTTTAAAGCATCTAACCCTAGACTTTCGAATTTCCCATCGAGAGGTGACGATCTCTTACTCGCCTGAATCTCAAACGGTCGGTTTCAATTGCGCAGTCTCGACATCAATGTTATGTTAACTCCATGATAAAAGCACGTAAGTCCTGTGCTCCAGATTCTTTTGTTTCGAAATGGTTCCAATATTTTTTCTCTGACTTGCAGATCGGCCGGTGCTCATCCGGTGTTCAGGCACGGCTCCTCCGGTTCCGGCAAGCAGGACGAATGAGGCGCGGTGTGGAGATCCAGTTCATTGATTTACTCCTCATAGATGGAAATGTGAGATTCGTATCTCTATCAACTTTTATTGAATCACCTTTTATGTTCCTGTTTTAAGATTCATAGCTCTTAGAACTTCTACTGATTCAATTTTTTTTCCTGATTACCGTATGATTCGATTTGTGTCCGTTTATGTGTGTGAATCTGTTCATTTGTGTGTTTGAATCTGTTTTTTAAAACAAAAGTCTACCGTCATCCATATCTCCTTAACTGTTACTTAATAGATTAGACGATAATATTTAGCTAACTTCACACGGATGTGAACTTTATATATAAAGATATAGTGATATTTCAAATGGCAGAATAAGAAGAGAAATCAGAAGCATTTGTTATGACAATGATGATGATAATGAAGTTTCATGGGATCCACATTTGTCTCTTACTCAAGCTTCTTTGAGAATCACACAATGAAAGACTGTAGAAGGTATATCTTGGCATTGTTATCTCTGCTTTTTAGTGTTAGTTTATTTTGTGACAGAGATTTTTTTGTTTAAATCCTCTATATATATGTACACACATGTTTGTGACTAGGTTTGTATTGTCTTAGGAACAAAAGTTTTTTGAATTTTTTTTTGGTCTCTTCATCCATAAAACAGTTTGGTTTNAGATTTTTTTGTTTAAATCCTCTATATATATGTACACACATGTTTGTGACTAGGTTTGTATTGTCTTAGGAACAAAAGTTTTTTGAATTTTTTTTTGGTCTCTTCATCCATAAAACAGTTTGGTTTTGTTTTATTTGATGTGGGTTATGTTCAAGAACTTGAATTGGTCAAAATGTTTTGATTTTTTTTTGTCTCTTCGGACATGAACAGATTGGTTTTGATGTGGGTTATGTTATGTTTCTCAAGGCAAAGATGGTTACTTTTGTTGTCTTTTGCTATACAAGAGCTCGAGTCTATGGCAGACCCTATGAAGAAAGAAGTGTCTATG